TTAGGGAAGGATCTACAGTGTTCGGTGTCTCACTACTAAATCGGACTCATAGTGATCCACCTGTTTACAGCCTCCCAAGAGCTGGGATTACAGGCACATGCCTTCATGCCCAGTCTCAATTGCCATCTCAGTGTACCCCAGGGGCAGGGCCAGCACACAGGCCCGGGGATCGAACCCCTGGCCCTGGCTCCTGAGCTATTTGGCCGGCCCTACAATTTCTTTAAAGTTCCTCTTTCATTCACTTTAGATGGCAAATAACTTACAGCATATGTCAATTATCCTACCTAATTCCATTTCAAGAAGGTATTATTTGAAAAATAAAGGTGTATTGCTACTGTGGGGCCCTGGCGTGAGAATAGAGATAAGAAAGTGATTTGGATCCGAAGCACACATCTCTGCAAACTCAGTGGTGTCCAGCAACTAGCAGACAACTAGCAAACATTTAAGTAGCAAACAAGGAAGGACAAAAGAAACAGCAAAGGAAGTCTCAATTGGTACTGTTGGCCAATTTTCATGTGTAAACACCTTCGCAGTGTCCAATCGTGAGCCTCTCCAGATTCCTGAAAACTCAGCAGTGGACTTTCAACCAGCCAACTGGAATCAACTACAGCCACTGCGAAGTCCCCTGAGGACAGGGTCCTTGGACATTTTACTGAACCTCAAACTATGTTCAGTGCCTTGCACCTCATATACATTCAATAAATATTTCTTGAATGACTAAATGAGGGGATTAATAAGATGCAACCATGTAAATGAGATTGAAGTACGTCTACCATCGTCCTTTGGCTATAACATAATCAGCAGCTTGCAGCTTCAGTGACATCACAGTCCTGACTTATCATGATGGTTGTGACTTGTGCTACAATTCTGTGGGGACAGAAGCATGTTATCATCATCCTGTGCTTTGTTAATCATAAAGGAAGTGTGAAAGGAGATAAGACTCGAATGTATGTTTATCAAAAAGCAGAAAAAAGACAGTGGATATGTTTTGTCCAATTCAAACAAACAGAATATATGATTTAAAACCTTGTAGAGAAAAAAAAATAGTTTTGTTATATAAGTCCAGAACGCTAGCCAGCCAAATAGCTCAGCAGATTAAAGTGCCTGCAAGCAGGCACAGGGGCCGGGGGTTTGATCCCCCAGCCTGCCGTGCCAGCCCCGTCCTCAGTGCACACTGAGACCGCAATTGAGACTGAGCATGGCAACGTGTGCCTGTAATCCAAGCTCTTGGAAGGCTGTAAACAGGAGGATCAGTATGAGTCTGATTTAGTAGTGAGACCCTGAACACCCTGGAGACCCTTCCCTGAAATAAAAATTAAAAAATAAACAACTCTAGCCTCTAACTCTTGGAGATGATAACTGAGATAATTATGTGATAACCAAATACCATTATGAACTCAATCATCTGCATTTTGTACTATGAATAACCACTACAAGGACAACAATATGCAATATGTTAATTATTGAAACTGTCCTATACTTACCTGGCAGGGGAGACACCATGATCATGAAGGTGGTTTTCCCAGGACAAAGTTCATCCATTACACTCTGGATGTGCTGACCCCTGCGATTTCCCCAAATGCAGGAGACTCGACTGCATAATCTATGGTAGTGGGAGACTGTGTTCCTGCCTTCCCCTGTGTTGTGGTTTAATATAGGAGCCGGGGAGATAGCTCAGTAGAATAAGCACTTGCCTGGCAAGAGTGAGGACCTGAGTTCAACCCCCACTTCCTCAATAAAAAAAAAAAAGAAAGAAAGAAAGAAAGAAAGAAAGAAAGAAAGAAAGAAAGAAAGAAAGAAAGAAAAGAAACTGTCCTACTAATCAGTTTTGAAACTGTCTCATTGCTATTTGTTTCTCAATAAAATTAATTTTTAAAAAATTTCACTAGGAAAAAAAAAAAACTCAATCACTGGCCAGGGATATAGCTCAGCAGCCCAGTGCCTGCCTGGCAAGTGCAAGGTCCTGCGTTCAATTCCTGGTGCCAAACAAAAACAAAGAAGAAGAACTCAATAGTTTCATTAGAGAGCACAGGTGGAGGCTACTATCCATTGTCCCTGGGTACTCATTCCTTCCCACAAAAGAGATTCTTGTAGCACATACAGAATGGTGACACCAAAGGGAGCTACTCACCATTCATTTCTAAGTGAAGAAATTATGTCAGTTGATCCACTACCTTTCAGGTATACAAATTTAAGATCCCACAGACACATGTGTAGATACTATAGAACACTAACTAACTTTTATGTGCCAAGGGGCAGGAATGGCAGGTTCTTGGCAAAGGCCACACTGAGACTCAAACCAAACCCAAATGTCCTAGCAGCAGAGCTGACTGCTCCCCACCTTGGGCTGTCAGATTAGGTGCAACATGCCCAGTTAAGTTTGAACTGTAAATAAGCAGTGAACAACTATGTAGTATAAATATGCTCCAAATAAATGCTCACTATTGCCTGGGACATATTTGTTCTTAAAAACTGTGTTGTTTATCTGAAATAAACATCTGTGTTTTTATTTGCAATATCTAGCAACCCTGCCCCCAAGGACACATTTGCCTGAAATGTTTTCAAAGAGTTTGACATTTCAAATAGATTCAACATGTAAATGTAAGACAAAGAAGATTTTGAGAGAATTCATTTGTGGCCTTGAGTATTGAAAGCCTTTCCAGCTGACACAAAATTCAGAAGCCATGAAAAATAAAAGATTTAGAAAATCTACTCTGTGAGAATCAAAACCCTTTTCCTGGGGAAATAAAATCAAGTGAAAAACAAATGACAACTAGGCAAAAACATTTGCAACTTGAAATACAAAGTGCTGAACTCCTACCTCTATTAAAAAAACACCTACAAATTCTAAGAGTAAAAGAAAGATCATTCATCCAACTAAAAAATTCGCAAAGACATGAACAAGCATTCAAGAAAGATAAAATTCATGTGGTTCTTAATAGGTAGAAAAAAACAGATGCCCAATTTCAGAAAAGTGGGGTTCTTTTTACCTAAACTATAAGGTTGGAAAAATTCCAAAAATGTAATAATAACTATGCTAGCAAGACTGCATAAGAATTGCATTTTATTTTGAAAAAATAAATAAATAAATAAAATTTTAAAAAAAGAATTGCATTTTATATGCTGCAGATGAGAGTATGAATAGGTGAAACTAGTGTTCCTAGTACTGTTTTCACTCTGGGCAGGAGAGGTATAGAGAGAGCACAGTTCTAAAGCTTTGCTCTACTCAGGATATAACTGTTAGAAGCCTGGAAAATTCCTCCTCAAGCCTTAGTCGAGGCTCTCAGCAACAGCAGAAGTCCCTACTGTGCGCTGCCTAGATGGCCTTTGCTGGCTCCTCCCATTCAGAAACACTCCCAGTCTTACAGGGAAGGCAGTGTCTGAATTAAAAGGGTAAATGTTGCCCTGAAAGGTCTAGACAGAACACTGGAGTCTAGGTGGGGGGACATCATCGCCATATTAGGTAAGAAGAAAGCTCTACCCTGAGCCTGAAAAGGCGAGCATTCAGAATAAGAACAGGAGTCCACAGGCATTTCAAGCAAAGGACCATGATGATAAAGTACCCAGAATTAGGAATGCCCACGCCATGTTCAGACTATGAGCAAACTGTCTTCCACACGAGATGTATAAACGGGAGAGATGGTCACAAGAAAAAGAAAAAAAGAAAAAACATGGGAAAAAGGGTTAAGAACCTGTGGCAATTTTGGACAATTAAATGCCTGTATCTTGCACGCTGAGTAACTAATTTAAAGATAACAAGACAATGTATTAACCATTGTTAGTCTCCTATTGTCTTGTTTTAAAATTTGGGGGATCTTCTTTCTCTTTAAAAAAAAAACAAAAAACTGACAAAGACTGCTGGTTGTCTGCCCAAAAGTGCATTCCTCCTCCTTTTTAAGACAAAATACTGATTTAAGGATTTTTTTTTTTTTTTTTGGTCTCCTCAAGATGCCTTTAGGGCATTTCTGGTTTTGGTGGGAGTATCTGGGTTTGAACCACAGCATCCTGAGCCTGAATGCTTCCTTTAAGCAGGCACTTAAACCACTGAGCTAATGGGCATGCCCCCTAAAGAAATGTCTTTAGAGGGGAGGGGGTAGTACCGGGAATTGAACTCAGGAACTTGCACTTTCCAGGCAAGCGCTTATTCTACTGAGCTATCTCCCTGGCCCCCGAAATACTGATTTATGGATGGACACATTAGTGTTAGGAATAAAAGACCACTTTTTCTCAGCTTCCCTTGCAGCTAGATACAGTCAAGTGACTATGTTGCCAATGAAATATGAGAAAAATGTCATATGATATTCTATATTGTCTCTTTAAAGGGAGGAGAAATGTGTTAAGGGCCACGTGCAAAGAGAAGCAAAGCTCTGGAAGGAAGAGTTTCCGTAGCGATATCTACACCAAGGTATGAAGAGATGAACAGGTTCTTTGCCCACCACCCAGCCCAACTGGCAGCCATGAGCACGGTGGAAAGAGAATTTCAAGTAGAAGACAATTTCCTCCTTTCATGTAGACTTTGTACAATCCCAAGGCACATATAAGGCAATATAATGGGAAGGAGGAAATTTCTCTTAAATGGGGACAGATCCTGTGATTGTAGTAGAATAAAAGATAAATATGATGCTATTTTGGCACTGTGAAGGTCTGTGGCCAGGGACTACACCAGCAGAGAGTAATCATTCTCATGGAGACTGCCACAGCACGTGGAACCACCCATATATGGCTTCACAAAGTTGGCTTCGATGGCATGCCAATCAAAAATGGGGCTTTCAAGCAGGACAACTGGGTAGAACTGGTAATACCAGAGCAGCAACTAAGTAATACCAGAAGCAATGGCGAGGATTTGCTTGGGCAAAGGGACTGAAGACTTGTGTTAAGAAAAGAATAAAATCAGCCATTACAATGTGGCCTACACTACGAATGTTAATTTATTTTCTCAAGGGCTAATGGGCTACCATAGCAGCCTGCTATATAAGTGTCAGTGATCCTAAGATGAGGATTATTTTGAAAGTTTAAAAAAAATGAATGAAAGAAAGAAGCAGCCAGAAGAAATCAGGGCCATCTCTATGGTGTTGAGTTCTCCCTCATGAGGAGGAGAAGGTGGTTGGGTACTAAAGGTGACTAGGAAAGAGGACCCAAACAAGAGGCAGCTCTGCCATGGGGAAAAAACAGTGGATGTCCTTAGAAATCCCTAAGCCCTGGGAAAGGACAAGGTCTCGGGAGCCTTCCAAGAGCTGAGACACCTGAGAAAAGAGGAGGATGAACCTTAGACATGAGAAGACTCTTACACTCTCCACACACACTGAGGTAACATCCTCCATAGTTCTAGAACAGGAATAACTTGAGATTTACAGAATCATGCCCAACCAGCTCACAAGACTGAATCATATTTCTCCTATAACTCCCAGTGCAAAAGGACTAGAGAGTTTGTCTTCCCCTTCTACAGTCATAGCATCTGATGAAATCATGGGGGCTGCTTAAAGCCCAGTCACCTCAGGGAAATGCTACTTGGTTTCAGAGAACTTAGAGTTCCTTCTTATTTGCTACTCATTTTTGTTTGGTTGTCTTAGTCTGTATTGTGCCACTATAACAGAATGCCTGAGTCTGGATACTTTATTAAGAAGAGAAATTTATTTCCCCACAGTCCTGGAGGCAGGACGTCCCCTGATATGTGCCTGTGTGTTGTGTCCTCACATGACAGAACACAGAAGAGCAGAAGAATGAATCTACCACAAAAGCTCTGCTCATGGGTACACTAATCCCTTCTGGAGTCAAGGCCTCATGACCTCCACAACCCCCCTCACAGCACTATTGCTTGGAGGCATACGTTTCCAAAATATGAGTTTTAGGAGACACATTCAGGTCACACCCTTGGTGCAGCAGTTGTGGTGACCATCTTAAATGCAAGGTTTTTGCTTGTGGTTGCAAATGAAACCTACCATTAAGAAGTACCTGGTCACTCTAAATTCATTTTTAACTGTGCTTTTTATGAAGTCCAGTATTGTAAACTTACCTGTCATTCAAGGAAAAGAAAAATAGGAACAGGAAAACAAAGCAGGGGAAAGGAGGAAAAGAAAAATAATTAGTAGGAAGACCATGTGTAATTCTACCTGAAAGCTACAGAGAAGCTTATCTCAAAGTACCATGGACTGGTTTATATGTTACAGTGCAAGTTTTGACATATCGCTTGTGCGTTTATAGCATGTAGGGACGTGTAAAACCAGTCAGTTATTAGCAGTTCTCAAAAAACCTTTTAGGTCACTCTTAGAAATCTAAGCAACTAGAGTTGCTCTAATAACCCATGTGGATAAACCACCTTGCCCTGGGAATTAGCATAGCCCGGAAATTGTACACTCTATTTACAAAACCAAATTTCACAAACCATTTTCTGAAGAAACCTATATTCTTTCCAAGGCAATTTTTAGTTTTATTATAACTGTATGGAAAGCTTGAAATGTTTTAAACAGGCTAACTGCTGCTATGGGTTCTATCAGAAATGGAGCACACATAGCAAAATTAGAAGGCTGGAATAGGCGCCCCAAAGACAGGCAACACCGTGAGATCCACAGACAGGAGCAAGCTCAGAAGCTGTTGTTTTGTTAGCAGCCGGCAGGTGAAGCCAGCAAGGTGAAACCTGGCC